TGATAGATCTTTTGTTGTATTTGGAAAGAATGAAATTTTATGAAAATTAGTAAACATCATTAAGAATTGATCTCAACAGAATACAGATGTTGATTTCGGGGATTCTCGATTCAACTGGCGGATATTTCGCTTTTTTCCCCTGTCATGTGAAATTTTAAGCAGCTGCGGAGATGGTTAAAAATAAACTCGCGCTTAGAATACCAAAATTTTGAGCATAAACATAAATATAACAGGGAAAAAATAAAATTCTAATCGAGAATATTCCGTTCACTTGAACAATTCTGCGGAATCCTTTGGATTTCCGTGGGGATGGGTAATTAATGGTTTCCAGTTGTTAATAAATCTCAAGAAATAAAAAAAAAATCAACGATATTTGAAGTGTTGGACTTAATGAAGATTCTAACAGTTGGAAATTGAAGAACGTAAATTTGCGTGAGGGCAATAATTATTATTTACGTAAATAATTTACCTTTATAGCCGCAGGGTTAATAAGTCTGTCCTCTGTCGTCCCTCGAAAATTCAAAAACAGCTCCATCCTCACCTCCCCAGCTTATTCCCACATTAATCCATTCTTCCACATGTTTGAAAAATCTCTCACACATTTTGCTTCCAGTACTACAATATAATTTGGTTCTGTGCTCCAATAAATATAATAAATCACCACTAAAATCCCTATCGACGAGTATCACTCGGTCAATCTCATTTGATTATTGAATTCACTAAACAACTTTCATCTAAAAAAAAATCTTGAAAATAAATATTAATCTCGTTGGTGCGTCATCTCCTGATTTATTCCATAGTTTTGATCACGTATTTCCACAGATTCATTGAATTTGAAAAGTTCAGTGAATGATTCTTCCGTTTGATCGAGTATTCAATTATGAACGTCCAGTTGTCGAGATCTGTTCAAACTATTGTCATGGCATTCACGTGAGTCCATTGAAAGCGATACCCTATTATCAGAAGGCAGTAAGTTACTTCAGTGGAGCTGATACTATTAATAATTTCCAATAGTCTTCCTATTTTTGAAAATCCTCCAGGATTTCTATGAAAATCTCCAACAATCTGAAACAAAACAACCAACAATCAATTATGACTCATTGTTTCGTCAATATCCCCTAAACTACTGACCCTAAAGAAAAATATTAGACAACCGTCTTTGTTATGAAATTTTTCTAGCACACATTGTTAACGAGATTATTAAAATTTTGAACAATCAATTTCTCAATACGAGAAATCCTCGAAAATGGTTTCCAAGCTTCTGAACTGTTTAATTCCTAACTGGAGCGACTATTTTTCCATTTAAAATGACTAACTGACATCCTCAAGGTTCCCCACAACACGAGATTCCTTAACAGTACTGAATTACTCATCGCGAAAGGAAAAAATTACCAAAACTGATAACATTACCCTCATTCCCGACAACAATTCTCATTCTGGATCAATCATGTCCACACATCAACTGGAAACCCAGTTCGAAAACCCTGAGAGAGCCCAGACTCACTGGAACCGACAGGTGGAATCAGAGTTGACACAATCATTTATGAATCACATGCTTAGTACCTCGGGTTATTTAATAGGTAAGTGTGACTGAATCAGCCCCAATTCCACTTAAACATCTGCCATTTCTCTCTTTAATTTTTCCCTTATCAAATCCGAATTGACA